TGGCACAGTGGTTAAAAGCACTTGGTCTTGACCCAAAAGTCTGCAGTTTAAACCCACTGTCTGCTCCGCAGGAAGCTGAGGCAATGTGCACTATAAAGACCTGCAGCCTTGGGAACCTGCCTCCAAGGGTGGCTCCGCTGTGCCACAGGGCCGCTGAGCGGGAGGGGACTGGGGGAGGGGGGCGCTATGCTCTGTGCCCAGGGAGGCCCTGCCATTTGGCACCAGGTTCTGGGTGTTCCAACCCCTGCCCTCTCCCCAGACCCATTGCACCCCTGCCTTTGAACTGATTCTGGCAGGGCTTCTGAGACTGTCAATGTGTTATCTTTCTCCCATGGAGCAGATGGGTTTGAACCGCTGACCTTGAGGCTAGCAGCCCAGTCAGTGCTTACTGCACAGTGACACCAGGGCTCCTTGGGCATCTCTTTAGCTGCTGAAAATGATGTGAAAGACCGACACCCACAAGGGAAAGTGAATCATGCTAGGGTCAGGGTCAGCACACACAGGAGGCCTCCTGCCAGGGCTGTCCATCCCGGGAGCTGGGTGAGAGTGGCAGCTGTGAACGCACTCTTCTGCCACGTGGGACCGGATGGTAGTGCGAGGGCGCAGGTGGGGCCCCTCTGAGGAGGTCATGGGCTGGGCCAGGGCTTTTTTCCTACTGGGTTCTGGGGGCTGTCTTTCCAGCAGGGTGTGCTGGGGTGGTGGTGCCAAGGCCGAAGGAAGGAGCCGGGCAGGTGAGCCCCAGCTTGTGGAGATGGGCTCTGTCGGGTGGGTGGGCCTGCAGGCTCTGTATCAGCCTCTGCAGAGGGATGGATGGCGTTTCAGACAGTAATGGGGCGACAGTACCGCCCTGCCCCTGCTCGGGCCCCCTCCCTTCCCTGGGCCCTGGCAGTGGCAGCTGCTTAGGCTCGGGATCAGCACCCCCTGAAACTGTCTCCACAGTGACCAGGGGCCTCCTTGTGGCCCTTCCCACCCTGCTGTCACTCTGTTAGCACGAGGGCCCAGGCTGAGTCAGGAAGGGCTCTGGCCTGCTTCAGCGTTCTGCGTGGATGTGTCTCCTGCATGGTTTCCTCACCGGCCCCTGGGGTTGAAGTGTGTGTAGGGGACTCGCCACCGCAGCCGACACCTGGACGTGCTCCCCCGCCCTGCTCCCTGGACCCGTCCCTTGCCGTGGAGACTGCCGTTGTGTCCAGTGTCTGACGGTGTGGGCCTGGCATTTCCTTATTCTCGCCCTCTGTCCGCCGGCTGTGCGCTCCCTCCCTCCCTCGTCGTCGTCTCTGTGTGTGGAGGAGTTCTCCAGCCACAGTTTCTTGTCCATTTCTCCCGGCTGGGAGTTTGTCTCCCCTGCTGTGCCAGGGTGTCTGGTCGTATCCTGCACAGCTTTGCCGCCATGTTAGGAGGCTGAGTTCAATCCGCGTTTCTACGTGTCCTGTCTGGTTTTGACACACTGGACCTGGCTCAGGTGCGCACTGCCCTTCTCTGGACAGCCTGGTTTTCAGAGCCTGTCAGCTTTCATCGACTCTGTTCTCCAGGGCTCCTCCGGGTGTCTGATGCTCCCTGAGGGGCTGAAAGTGCACCCTGAGCTGGGCCACATGGCGCCTCTGGGTCGAGGAGAGCTTCTCTAGCCAGAGGAGAGTGCTGTCCCCGCTGGGAGCCGTGGCGGGTGTCCCGGGGGATGGTGGAGACTGATGGTCCCGTGCTGGTGCCCCAGCTCCAAGGTGTCTCTGGATGAGGGGTGGTAGGGGGTGTTCTGGGGCCTCTTGCTGGTTGTGGTGGGATTGACAGCCTGTGCCCCTACATCCGGGGCAGGAGAATGCCTCCCGGTGGTCTTGGCTGCTTGTTGTCAGTGTGGCTCCCTGTGGACCCTGTTGCTAGGCTCAGTGGCAGTGGGTGGGACTCCTGTGGGATAGGATGGGCCTGCAGGCTCCAGTTTGAGAGTTAACTGCAGGACTTCAAGCGTGGGAACCCTGGTGGCACAGGGGGTGAGGTGGCTGGCTGTAGCCCCAAGGTGAGCGGTTTGAAACCACCAGCCACTGTGGGAGAAAGAGGAGGCCTTCCCTCCTGTAACGAGCCACAGCCTGGGGAACCCTTTGGGGTCAGTTCTGCTGTCCTGTAGGGTGCGAGGGTGTGTTGGGCGCAGCTCCATGGCCGAGTTTGCAGCTTTGGAGTGGTGTTGGTGGACTGGTCTTGGGGTTTGTTGCTGGCCCTGCTCTGGTCTTCCTCCCTTCTCCCCGCCCTGCAGCATTCCTCAGCCAGTCTCTCGTGTGTTAGCTTCTCATTCACGCACCGTAACTGGCTGGTTGAAACATTCTGGGAAGGGTTGTGCAGCCATCCCCACGCTCACCCCTCAGCGGGTGGTTCCAGTCCTGGGACTGCTCAGGCTCTCTCCCCTCCCGTCCCTTCCCTCTGGGGCTCTCACCTGGCCGCTCTCCCACGCGACTCCTTGTCCTGTTGGTGGGGATTCAGTTGCTCCGGCCTGTGTCCCCGGCACAGGGCGTATACTGCTCTGGCCTCTGACCTCCCTTCAGCTGCAGTGTCGGCTTGCTGTCAGGTTGGTTCAGACCCTGAGCACAGTGGATCGGAAGGCAGCCCGGCCCAGCCCAGCGCCCGCCTGCCTGCGTTGGAGCTGTTGTTGCAGCTGGTCCATCCGCTGAGAGAGAGTCCTCCTCACTCCCTGATCCTCGCCTTCGCCAAGCAGGGTGCCCTTTCCCGCACGCCCCCATCACGGAGCGCCTGCATTTCCCTCCTGCTCCTTCACTCGGTTCAGGGCCACCCGCTGGGTGCGCGAGCATAGCCAGGGTGGCGCGGGCAGCTGTGTCTGAGGGCTGGCTCCTGTGCCACCCCAGGGCTCTGTGATCGCCGTCCCGCGAGAGGGTACGGGCAGTAGTGTTGGGGCAGTGCCCGGGCTTGGATGGTAGAGTCTTGGTGACGGTGGGTGCCGTCCACTCAGTTCTGACTCACAGCAACCCCACAACAACAGACGGGAGCAGAGCCTGGCCTGGGCCCCCCTGGGCTCAAGGTCCTGTTAGAACCTGGAGAAGGTCGATATGTTTGTTTTGTATAGCAGTTACGGGGAGACCAAGTCCTAACCCCTCTTCTGTGGCCCCGAGTGCTAGCACCCGTCTGCTTAGTTCTCAGCCCTGCGTGGTCCTGGTGGCAGCGCCATGTGTCCACATGTCTCTGTGTGTGCGCCATGTGTGCTGCCTGGGGGATGTGGGACCTGGGCTCCATGTCACCACTGTGCTGACTCGGGTGGTCTTAACTGTGGGCTGCT